TGTGAATGATGAGAAAAAGCCAGTGGTATGAAGTTCTGATGGCAGAGTATTTTAAGCAAGAGATACGGCAAATTCAGAGGCCCCAAAGCAAGATCAAGCAGCAGAGTAGGGAAGCATGTAGAACAAAAGATCATAGAGGTAGGCAAGGCCCATGTCCTGTATATCCTTGTAAACATGCTTAATAAGTTTAGGATTTTGTTTTCAGTGCAGTGGGAAACAATAGACATGTTTTTAGCAGGGCCTGATTGGTGGAGGTTGCATTATAAGAGGGTAAGAAAGGAATCAGGCTTTTGCACCAGATTGTGGGAGAAAGCTTGGTGGTTTGTATTAAGGTGGTTGATGATGGCTTATGGTGTGAGGGAAAGAGAGAAATAAAGGATATCTTCAGGGTTTTGGTCTCAGCAACTACTGAGTGACAATTCCTTATTATGATGAGGAAGCCCAGAGAAGGAATGGCTTTGGGGTAGGGAAAAGTCAAGAATTTCATTTTGACTATATTATATTTAAGGCAACAACAGGAAAGGAAATCTAAAACCAGGTACCAGGTATTTAATGCAGAGAGCTACTATGCTCCTAGCAGATATTTTGCTATACTTCTGAAGGGCTGTGTTAATTTATGTTTTAAGGGAATGGGAAAAGTTAGTACTGTTCTGTTGGCAGACTGTTAAAAAGAAATCAGATCTTGACCAAAGAAAGTAAGATAGCATTCTTAGGTTATTGGGTCCAAAAGAAGTTGTTTGTATCTTTTTTCCCCCCTTTATTTGTCATTTTGTTTTACTGGAAGTAAATATTTGAGTGTCATGTTTCTAAGTATATATTTGAACTTAGAAACGTAGATCACAGTTGCTGATTCTCACAAGATAAGAAAAGGTCAGTTGAGACTAGTAAATTTATGCATATTTAAAATTTGTGGCCAAGTGATTTTTTTTAAGGTGGCAGAGATTATTTCTTAAGCTGTTTATTTTAAAAGATGGTTTATTTCTATGAAACTTGGTAGATTTTTTGTCGTTGATGTGTCCTGACGTTAGTTTCCAATTTTAGATACAGTTGTTGGACATAATATTCAGTAAAATAACACAACTTTGCTATTTTCAAGGCATTGCTTAATATTGTTGGAATTCTAGGTGGGTGGAAATGGCATTCAGAAAATTATGTAAGGAAATAAATGGAACATATCCTGTAACTTGAAAATATGAGGTTAAGATTCTGTAGTATTTGCAATGGATTTGGCCACTATTTGGTGGTATAAATTAAGAAGCTAAGGTCTTAGAGAAATTTTAGCAAAAATTAGGTAACCATTAAATCATCCCAGTAATTTTACTATATTCCCCCTCCAGACAGTTCACAAAACTGTGAACACATTAGTCTGTCACCAGTACAGTTGACTAATCTCCATGAACAGCTGTTATAACATGCGTTACTACAGTGGGATTTTGTTCAAATTTGGGCTTTTAAAAATAATTTTGAAACTGAAATTAAACCTTTAAACATTTTCTTTGTTTTTGATAACATTTTCTTTCTAAAAGTGTTCTCAAGTTTAAATTTGTGTGTGTGCACACAGAATTGCCAGTTCTGTAGAAAACCTATAACTGGATTTTAGATTGTATGTTTTGATTAATGGATGTTTGTTTCAAGTCATAGTCTTTTTGCTAGGAATTTTCTTCTTTAAAAAGAAAAAACAGTCTTGTAACACATTTCTTCTTTCGGCCAACTGCAAAATTGTGTTCCTTTTAATGGAGTGCTGTGAGATAATAAATGGCTATAAAATATTTTTTAGTATGGAAGCAATTGTGATCTTTTAAACATGATATGTAAACCCTACTTTTGGTTTTGTAAAGAGAAAAAGAAAAAGATAATAGAACACAAGTGCATTAGAGTTGACCTTATTCTATCAGTTTTACTTATATGTCGCACGTCATCAGGGACTGTGTTCTGACATAATAGAATAAAATTGCCTAATTAATCTGGTAAGACAATGACTGTTGATTAAAGGATATTGTGATAATTGTGAAAACTTGTTTTTCAGAGTGATGCTGTATACCACAGAATATTTGTTAACTCCAGTGTATAAGATGTTTCTGAAAGTTAAGGTTTTGACATATGCTATAGTATGTATAGCATGTTGAAGAGCTTGTATTTTATTTGTAAGTCCCAACATGATCTGATCCCAAGTCCCTCTCCAGACTGTTACCTCAAGCCATTTCCTCCTCGTTTGTTTCACTGCAGCTGCCTTGGCCTTTATTTCAGTTCTGAGAAGACAGTTTCTGGCTCTAACATGTGCCGGGAACATTCTTACTGCCTCATCCCCAGTCTATGTAATATTATACTCCTCCTTGAGATCTCACCCTAAGTAGCACTTCCTTATGGAGGCTGCCCTTCACCACACAATCTAAAATAGGTCTCTACTTTTCTTCCTCAGTATGCTCTATACTTTTCTGTAGTTATAACAAATTTCATAATTTATAATGTATATGTGTTTAATAACCATCTTCCCAACTCAGGCTGAAAAGCTTTCCTGAGGATAGAGACTATTTTATTTACAACTGTTTACATAGCATTTCATGGGGGAGTTAGGCTAGATCTAGGACTTTTTAATTCAAAATTTGTATTCTTTTTATTCTACAGTAACTGTCTCACTGCCTTATACTCCAGCTACTTGTAGTAGTCAATGAAATGTGGGTTGACCTATAATCCCTTATCTGCAAGTCTAAATTTAAAAACCTGTAGAAAAATAGGTTGTGTCAAATCAAAAACAAACATGTGAAAACACATAAGCTAATTTATCTGGTTTAACCCATGTGGGACTAATAAGCTTATGTTATTTTTGCAGCATAATATGTTTCTCTTGTGACATGCTGCCCCAGACTCTCCTGGGGTCATTGCATAATACGAGTATGAAATACATGCACTATTACCTTTCCAAAATTTAAAAACTTCTGAAACAAAAGGTTATTGGATTGAGAGGTTGTGTTAGCCTGACTTTGCCTCTTACTACCTGTGTGACTTGAGATAAGTTACTTAAGGTATGCTGATAAGATTTCATACTAGAATTACAACTCGGGTACCCTCTAACCCTTAACCATGTTTTACTTGATCTTAAAATTTCTATTTTTAATTTTTACATTTATAATACTCAATAGACTTTTTCTTCGGGTGGTCACTAACAACATAAAAATAAAAAAACAGTAGTGTAATAGAAAATACATTGTTTTGGAACTACTTTGTGCCTCCATATAACTTTAAACTAATACTTTGTTTTAAAAACTTTGCATATTACACTTTATGTCATACATTCAAGCCTGATGAAAAGTCTGAACAATTAATTGGAGTGCCTCCAATCCAAGTAGAATTTAAATTATTTCCAATTTAAAGACTCTTTCCTTCAAAAGAAAGGTGTTTGTACACATTTTTTTTTTGATTCTTTAAAATACACCCATTTTATTTCAGGTAACTTTAAACTGTGTGCCTGCTGTGTGGAATTTGAATAACTGATTTTAGGATTTTGCTTAAATTTTTAAAAATGTGTACCTTAGTGATAAACGTCTTATCTGAGCTACTGTGTTATGCACTGTGGGAATTTGGTAGTCAGGAAGTAAGAAGTTGTATTTTTTACTACTTGATATATTTAATAAGTCCAAGCAGTAATGTCTTTAAATTTTATCTCTCAAACTCTGCTTGAACATGGTAATTTTGTTCTAAGTCGGAACTGTTTTAAATACAAATTATAAGTATTTTGCCTTTCTTTGAACTACAGTGTGTTCAATACAACTGCATTCTCATTAATGAAATCTGACTATTTTGATGGTACAGTGAAAAATTCTTGTATGAGTAAGTGATGTGCATTCATTTATTAAGGTTCTTCCAAAAGATTAGGTAGCAAACTATATGAAAGAATTGTAGCGCTCTTCTTAAAATGAGGCATAACAGGATTTCAGTTAACATTGTCAGAATCACTGTATGAATATAAAGTTGCTCAATGTGACATTTGTTCATATATTTTATCCTCTTCTATGAGGGACTTGGGTAATGAAGTGTATATTTGACTGTCGTTTGCCAGTTGGAAAGGCTCCAAAAACAAGGAGGCATTTGTACATGTGCAGATGTTGGCAGGGTTCCCTTTCCTCCTGTTGTCAAAGACCATTTTATTTTCACAAAGATATGTTTGTATCTGTTCTACAATATGGCATGTGAATAATATACCAATAGTGTATGGAGGCTTCTTTTTTTCTTCTTTTTTCTTTTTACTTTTTGTATGATAAAACTATATAATATCATGTATTTACTTATTTTCAGTGCTTTCATTTCTTTATGTCAGATTTTTATACATGAATACTTCTGGGAAACAGTTAAATCTTTTATAATCACTTTGTCTAACTAAATTTTCAAGATTGTGGAGGTATTTTAAGTTGGGAGAAAAAGTTGAAAGTAACATGAGATTGGCAGTTTTTGCACTTCACTTTGGACATCTGTCACTTCTCCCAGTGCCCAAAAGAAATGAAAAAAATCTCAGGTATAAGATTGAAGTGCACTTTCCTCTAATTGCTAAAGTATCAGTAGATACTGTCTCTAAACAAAATCGGATCAATTCATTAACTGTATTTAAAGGTTCACACTATCATATCTAAATTTATAGTTTACATACTTAGCATTCTATCACAAAACTGCAGATATTTAAATTTAAAAGAAAAAAAGTATGTACAATGAACAAGTACAGATATTGTGCCTTGATTGAGCTGAAAGGAAGCTCAAATGAAAATAGGTAATTATGGATGAAGTTTAGTTCTAAAAATCTCTTTTGTTTTAAAGTTGATAAAAGTTTTAATGTAAGGATATTACTGAGTTTTTTCAATTTTATGAAAGCTCAGGGTATAATTAATATTACTTATTTTATTATGGGGTCCAAGAAGACAAGCCTTACGTAGCTCTTTTAATGTATGTAGATTGTTCAGTTTTTAGCAACAGAAGTAGACTACATTTATATTCTGTAGTGATTTTTGTTGTTGTTTTCCCCGCAGTTTGTGCAAACATCATCTTTGGATAGTATTTTCCCTCAATTTAAGGAGGGGTGCTAGGCTGACAAATGGCTCTTAAAACACACCTTTGGTCATGTGATCTTACAAGAAGTTGGTTGAAACATTTCATCCCATCCGTTTTTACTTGGGTGCTCATCTCGTAGGTGGGTTTTTTAGCATTGGAAAGCACCTTAGAATAAGCTTGCCATTTTACTTAGGTTGAAAATGACTTGTTCCTCCCAGAAGTTATAAAATCCATTAGAAAATCTTGCTGAGATTAGGAGAATAAATAGTTTTGAAGTTGGGTTTAAGGTGAATAGAAAATGTGGTGGCATTGGAAAGAAAAGCACGACTAACGTGGGACCAGAGGTACTTGGTACTTGGAGTGGAGGTTGCATTGATAGGTTATCAGATTGCTCTTTACCAACCTGTGGGTGTAGATTAGAAGATGCTTCCCAAGAATCCTTCTGAGTTCCACCCCTGCTTGCTTCTGGACTAGATACGGCCCCTATTAAAGACTCTTTCAGGACCTGCACCACTTTTTAATAACTAACACTTATTACACTTATAATTATTTGTTTGGTATCTGTCTTTTCTAAAATTTTTATTTTAGAGACTGTGTAGTTCACTGTTTTTTATTGCCAGCATAGCATAGTGCCTGGTGCCTGGTAAATACTTGGTGGCTAATAGGCCTGCAGTCCTATTCATTCAAAAGAAAGGATTGGTTCAAGAAATAGGCAGAAGACCTAAATAGACGTTTCTCCAAGGAAGATATACAAATGGCCTATAGGCACATGAAAAGATACTCAACATTGCCAATTATTAGAGAAGTGAAAGTCAAAACTTACAATGAGGTATAACCTCACATCGGTCAGAATGGCCATCATTAAGAAGTCTACAAATAACAAACGCTGGAGAGTGTGTGAGAAAAGGATTGGTGGGAATGTAAATTGGTGAAGCCACTATGGAAAACAGTATGGAAGCTCCTTAAAAAACTAAAAGTAGAATTGCCATATGATTCAGCAATCCCACTCCTGGGCATAAATCCGGAGAAAACTAATTTGAAAAGATACATGCCACCCCAGTGTTCATAGCAGCACTGCTTACAATAGCTAAGACATGAAAGCAAACTGAATGTTCATCAAGAGATGATTGGATGAAGAAGATGTGGTGTGTATATATATGTAGTGGAATACTACTCAACCATAGAAAGAATGAAATCATGCCATTTGCAGCAACATGGTTGGATCTAGAGATTATCATATTAAGTGAAATAAGTCAGAGAAAGACAAATAGCCTATGATGTATGTGGAATCTAAAAAATGACACAAATGAACTTATTTATAAAACAGAAACAGACTCACAGATGGAGAAATCAATTTTATGGTTATCAAAGGGGAACGGGGATAAAGGAGAGGAATAAATTAAGAGTTTGGGAATAGGAGATACAAACAACTATATATAAAATGCATAAAAAACAAGGCCCTACTGTATAGCACAAGGAGCTATATTCCATATCCTGTGATAAACCATAATGGAAAAGAAAAAAAGAAAGGATTGGTTGAGTCTACTTATGCAAGTCAGAAAGATAAAGGAAATCATACATACTTTCAAATCTGGTAATAAAGAAGATGTCTTGTGTTTTGTTGATCAGTTTGGTTCTGAGATTTTGATAAGCAAGACTTCTTTTATTTTAGTTTTATAATGCAAAGTTACCAATTCAAAAATTTTTTTCAAGTCCATAGTAATTATAAAAGTTAAAGAAATGAAATTTATCTCTATTGAACTGCTGCATATTACAAGAAAATCCAAGCTCATGCCTAGTAGGAATCTCTACTGAGGATCTGGGGATAGACCTAGGATAACTTCATCGGAATCTTTTATAATATTAAGGTAATTCTTTTGTAGAGTTTTCCATCTGATGAAGGTTGGCCTTTTGCAAAGTATCTTGGAGCTTGTGGAAGAATGGTGGCTGTAAATTATGTTGGAGAAGAACTGTGGAGTTACTTTAATGCACCATGGGAGAAACGAGTTGACCTCGCTTGGCAATTAATGGAAATAGCAGAGCAGCTTACAAACAATGACTTTGAATTTGCACTCTACCTCCTGGACGTCAGCTTTGACAATTTTGCAGTTGGTCCTAGAGATGGCAAGGTAATCATCGTGGATGCTGAAAATGTTTTGGTTGCTGACAAAAGGTTAATTAGACAAAGTAAGTATATAATTTTTAGATTTTTTTCTATGTCAAAATAATGTTTACATTAATGTGAAGCAAACCTTTCATTTCCTCCTTAGATGGCAACCCTGCATCTTTCTTTGTACTATTTGACCAGTATCAATAAATGGATGCTGATTTATTATACTCACTCTTGTACTCTTAGTCACAATTTCTCCATATTAAGTAAAATATCCTTCAGGTTCAAATGGACACAGATATACTCTGTGTGTGTGTGTGTGTGTGTATACATCTTTTTCATACACTCTGCTATATTCCATGGTTTAGGAGTCTAATGCAGAATTAAGTTTTCATATAGTTACAGGCTATCAGAGAAACTATACTGCTTTTGTGGAGGCCATGTTTTTCTATAGAGTCTCTTACAGTGATATTCTGTATTCCACTGTTCTGTGGGGTCCCTCCAGTGATTTTTCTTTTCCTTTTAACCATTTAGATGATTCCAGCACTACACATCTCTAACTTTGATGTGACAGTATTACATCTCATTCAAAACTTTGCTTTCCACCTATTCACAGGAGAGGTGGGCAGAGTGTCTGAAATGTTTTGAAAATTAAATGTCATAGGAATTTCAAAGTGTCATGGACAAAGTCTGTAGTTCTATAATTAATGTACTTAGTAAAAGAAACTGAAGTGTTGTTCCATGGTGAGGATCTTGTATTTTTAATCCCCTCCCATCATGAAGGGGTCTTTTGATGAACACAAGACCAAAGTTTGAGGCACCTAGGGAATGAATGCAGTGAGTGTAACAGCAATGTATTAGGTTGACACTAACTTTTTGCATGATATTAGCTTAATCTTGTTAACTACTCTGTTTTCCCAATACCTTCTTCTGATTCCATACTTGCTGAACTTTCTGATTATTCCTTGACCTGCCATGTAGATCCTTCCCCAGGGAGCGGATGCCCTGCTCTGGAGTGCTTCACTCTCCACTTGTCTCCTCCTACAGTTTTTAATGTTGCATCAGCTTACAACATGATTTTTTCAAATTCAGTGGTTTTTATTATATTCACAGAGTTGTGCAGCTTGCCTAAACTTAAAAAAAATTATTCCAGTATTTGTAAAAATAATTTTTAAAAATTTTTTAATGTGGGCATTCCTGGAATACATGTTAACAGTTTTATACCAACTAATTCCTGACCTTAGATGAATACAGTATATGACTTTTTTTTCTTGCATTTCATGCGATGAGCATTGCTCCAGTGCTACTTTAGCTCTGTCTAGTTCTTTTCAAATGTCTCATGTTGAGCTATCTAAATAGACACTTTGTGAAAGGCTGTTATCTATTTATTCACCCTCTTTTCTGAACTCTTTCTAGTAAATGACCTTTACAGGGAAATTGAGGTTTTATAGTGGCAATTTCCTCAGTGTCCTTTCCTTTATCATCTAAACTGGTAAAAACAATACACATTCATCTCTCTTTTCCAGACAGAGTAGATCCTTCTTTGAGAACTTGTTGCGTCAGTTTTCTTCTTCAACTTCCCGCCCCTCTTTCTTAAAATCTGGTTTTTCTTACCTTCCTGTAAACAAGTATGTATAAGATTCTTTCCTGCTCTCCCATTGTTTATTAAAGTATTGCTTGCTGCCTATCTCTACTTTCTAAGCCTGACTCAGAAGTCTGTATTACCATTGGCAACCACCTAATTGGCAAATTCATGAACTATAACAGCTTTCTGAAATTCTTTCCTCCTTTGGTTTCCTTCTGCTCCATTTGGTTCCTTTTTTAAAACATAAATCTGATCTTATCGCTCCCTTGCTTAATGCCTTTGATGATTTCCCATTGTTTTTCGAGTAAAATTCGAACTTCTTGCCAGAGAATAATTTGCATGACTTGGCTCAATTCTCCATTTTTTAACATCCCTCCACTGCCCTTAATGCTTCAGCTACAGTGGCCTTTTGATTTCTTGAATGACTCTTTCTAGTTCTGGGCTTTCCCATATGCAGTTTTCTTTGCCTGACATGCCTCATCTCTCCTCATATACATAGCTAGCTACTTGTCCTTCAAGCCTTAGCTTAAAATGTTACCTCTGAGAGAAACTTGAAGGCTATATCTAATGGTAGAGAGGGTTTCTTTCATAAACCTTTCCACTGTTAGGAACTGCTGTTTCCTTCATAGCATTCCCCACAATTTATGATAGATAATGTTTATTTACTTTCTTAATGTATATTTCACATACTTGATTGTAAGCCAGTGAGGACAGGAACCATGTATTATCTATTTACCATTAATATAGCTTTGCTTGCCATAGAGTAGGCATTCAAATAGTTATTTGCTGAGTGAATGAAGGAGTTTCTTTCACTTAACCTCTCCTCTGCCAACCCCTTAAGTTTTTTTTTCCTTTTTTTTCAACATGCTTTTCAATATAATTCAATTGTTCTCTTCGCTTCATCAAGCACTGATATGCTGATGCATTCTTAAGTACATGTACTGTTCTTCTGACTCAAGTCATAAGTTTCAGGTCTATTTCTAGTTGTATATATGACCTGCCTACCTGACTACATCACAGCTACTTATCTTTCAAGATCTCAATCAGTTGTTCTTCTCTATGCAGCTTTCTGTAGCTCCAGGCAGAGGTAACTGCTTCCTCTGTACTCATGTAGCATCATGTCAGACTTGTGTGTGGCACTTCCTCTGTATCATGGAGAGTTTCACTCTACATTGAACCCTTTGGTAGAAGGGCCCTTATCTGATCCTTCTGCCTGGCATCGGTGGACTCCCAATAAATGTGTATAAATCAGTATATTTAAATGTTTAAAGTTATAATAAAATTTTAAAAACAAATACTACCATGTTAACTAGTGAAATGCTGTATTTTGGGAAGCAATGAAAACTCTTTTAAACATATATTTTTCTTTTTCTGCTCTTTCCCCTTTTCACAGATAAACCTGAAAATTGGGATGTATGGTATGAAAGCAAATTTGATGACTGTGATAAGGAGGCTTGCTTATCATTTTCAAAAGAAATTCTTTGTGCTCGTGCCACTGTGGACCATAATTATTATGCTGTTTGTCAGAACCTCTTATCTAGACATGCCACCTGGCGTGGCACTTCTGGAGGACTCCTCCATGACCCACCAAGTGAAATTGCCAAAGATGGCCGACTAGAGGCCTTGCTGGATGAGTGCGCCAACCCAAAGAAGCGCTATGGCAGATTCCAGGCTGCAAAAGAACTGCGTGAATATCTAGCACAATTAAGTAACAATGTGAGGTAGTCTATGGTGAACTTTTCTCTTCTCCATTTAAATAGCACTGGCTAAAACGAAACCACCAAAAACTATCTGGAAAAATGAAAGTTGGGAGTAATACATTCAGAAGGTGATAAACTTGCACTGATAGATCTTATGTTAACATCCATAAGCATAAGATATAATTTCAAAAATCACGTGATGCTTCTGCAAATAAGTTTGGTCTTTCACTTTGGAGACTTGAGCTATCGTTGACTGCTTTACCCCCGAATGCCTGAGTGGATTACTGAATATTGTTAAGCTATTGGAAATGAGTCTGATAGTTAATTGGCTTGTGTATCAAAGGGTACTTGGTACTTGACTTAGTTTTCATTACTATCATGATTTTGTGAATCTCTTATACTTACTTTGAATGTCAAGTTAGATTGGCCTGTTTTATAGGCCACTTATTCCTTCTGATGTGTAACATTTGTTTTTTTTTCATTTTTATGTTTTTTATTAAATTTTACACATTCAGGTTATGTAGGTTTTCATTTACATTTGGGCTAGTCCTCATTCAGTGCTATGCGGTACACATTTACTGTTAGGGCAGGATTCCCAGGTTTACTGTGTTTTTTTTGGAAAGCTGAATATTTTATTATGTAAATACATTCCTTTCTACTTTCTGTGGTTTCACCACTGCATGAGATCATTTAAGGTTATTTAACAGTTACATCCCTCTATGCCAATAATTGTAAGTGTACACTAAACATGAACTTTGGCATATTGCAAAATGTCGTTTTTGTCCTTTAAAAGGCTTTCAGAGTATATTAGCAATCTATACCTTGATGTTAATTTTAATTGAGGAAAAAAACCCAGTATTTTTTAAATGCTAACTAGTCCAAGATACTGATGCATATGCCAAAGAAATATTAGACCTAGTCCTATGGTTAGATATTAAAATTGGTCACCAACTTATTCTTATTATCCTATTTCCAGTACTTCAGCTCTGTCATTATTAAATTCACATCTCCCTAGTTATTTTATGTTAAAAAATTAAGCTATTGCTCCCAAGCATATGTAACTTAAAGATGTCCTACCTTTTATTGATTGGTAGTTTTGCAGAAACCAACATGGTAGTCACAGTTTGAGTTTAATCTGGCATCCTAACTTTTTATTTATTGGTGGACTAGTAATATTTACTGTAAAGCAGACAGTTTAGCCAGTCTGCGCAGCTTGGTCTTCATTACCCAATTATTAAACATCAAGACATCAAATTTAAGTTGTGGATAAAAATTAACAAGCGTGTTAAAGTTCTGTGAGCTATTTTTAAAAGTTACAATATATAAATTGACTATCACTAAGATAGGTGATATTTTCCTGTTTGAAATTATAACTTTTCTTTATGGCAAAGTTTGTTCTAGTGTGCAGTATTTAGTTCTAGACTGACTTTATTCTAATCAGAAAGTGATTAAAATGTACACAACCAAAGCCAAGTTTTTCTTTTTCATTCATTCAGCAACTATTTATTGAGCATCAGCTCTGTGCCAGGTATCACTAGCTGCTACACACTGTCTGAACATGACATATGGTTAAGTTACTTTATAGTAATTATCAAAGACTTTAATGTAGGTATTTCTTAAGTTGAAATAGCATTCATTACATTAGAATGATGCTTTTGTGTTATTTTATTGTTGTGATGGAAATTCTGCTTGTACCATCTATCACTGGGTTGCTACAAAAACAGCAGGAGGAAATCAATAGAGTTAATACCAGTTTAAAAACTGGAAGAAGGGTAAGATCTCTTCATTAAGAGATAAATAAAATAGATTTCATTATGTTAATTTTTATACATCAGTACATTACATATATCAACTAACCCTCAAAGAAACATTTAATTGCTGGAAATTTTACTAAGCTGACTTTACAACTTTGGAAAACTTTTGAGGGGAGTAGGTAAAATTGCTAGTCAAACATTCACCTCTTATTCAAAACTTTAAATAAAATACTCATTTTCAAAATGGAGTTCCTTTTATATTTGATAAGTATTCATTACAAAACTTAGAATGCCAGTCATAGAGGAGTTGTCCTTCTGTGGTTTAGCAAACATTTATCTTACTTTTTGGAAGAGTGATTGCAGAACAGGAAGTGAAAAACACTGCCAGCAGTGATCGCTACTTGAGGTAGTTTTTTGTAACTACCATTTCCCCCATGAGATTATGTGGAATTTCTTTTATCTTTGGAAAAACTGAGAAGATAGTAAAAGAATTAGGAATTTAACATTACAGGGAAAAATAGGTATGTGAAAAGCAATAAATATTTTGTTCACTTTGCTATCAAGATGTTCACTATCAGATATTTATTATACAGCAGCAATTTATATTTTTAATCATTTCCCATTAATAGACGCAGTAAAATATTTTTGAATCAGACATTTGGGGTTTGTATGTGCATTAAAATTGTCTTTTGTACTGTAAGTTACTGTTTAATTTGAATATTTTATCAGAACTGTCTTCCTGTGCCTTTATAATATAAAGTTGTTTCTACAACTTTTAATGAACTTAATAAAGAGTACTTTAAGAATCACACTTTTCAGACTGTCTCTTTTCAAATATACGGCTTATTCTTGAGTGGAAAATAAGGTTATACAGATAAAAGTTATTTTTTCCCCCTCTTGCATGTATTTTAATATAATTTTCAGAAACTGGTTGGGTGTGAATTGGACTTCAGGTATGTGTGTTTTCTTCTGTTTTTCTGTAGTAGTTGGTGATTTTTTAAACTTTTACTAAAATGGGATAAAAAAACTTCATTCTGCAATTTTTCAAATGTATACAAAAGAATAATATAACAGTAATAAACTGATTATACTAATGTCAAAAGTTAGCAACATGTGGCCAAACTTATTTCATCTATACCCCAACCTACTTTCCCCCTCCTTATTTTGAGATATCATTTGATTCTGATTTACACATTAGGCATTTTATCCCCCTCAACAAAAATTTCACATCTGAAAAATTAACAGTAATACCTCAGTATCGCCAAAGAGGGAAAGCTGTCAAAAACTCAAAGATGTTTTCTCAAAAGCTCAAGATTGAACTGCAGAGGCTCTAAACCACTAGTGATACATGGAATGATTTGATGATCCATAAGGATAGTAACTGAAATGGATTGAAATGTATTAAATATGTAACCTATGTATTCAAAATGATAAAAGTGACCAAAAACAACAAAAACCAACTCAGTTACCTTTGGAAGGATGTTGAGGGTTTATTCTGAAGACTGGTAACTTGGAGATAAAGGAGCATTAATCCTGCCTTACTCCAGGATAATCAAATTACTGAGGGGAAGAATTGGTAGAATTACTCCAGTTAATACATGCAGAAGGAGTGCTATTAGAATATCACTGTTTTTAAAGTTCTAATGAATTGGCAAGAGCTAGGCAATGATCCTCAATGGCTGCCAAAGCTATTAATTGAAAAGCTGGTGAACTTTGGATGGATGGATCAGGATGGTAGCACCTGATGGACTTACTGGTTAATCTTAATGATGTGTGTTCTAATATGACTCAATAAAAAGTACCCAGCGCCACCTATGCAGTGTCTTGATAGAAAAAAAAAAATTCAGAGTCTCATCAAGCCCCTAGATCTGCCTACTAACTGGAAATACACAGCACAAAGAAACACATTACTGAACACCATGGGGATGCAATCAACAAAATCCAGAACACAGGCAATTCTGCAGGATAAATGGCTTGGTTTTGTTTAACAGATTGCAAGGAAAAGGAAGGAGACCCTTTGCATTAAAAGAGACTTAAATAACACATAAAGTAAATACAAATGTTACCTTTGTATCCTGATTTGAACAAATCCACTTTAAAACCAAGTGGAAACAAATTTGAACTGAACAATAGGTGGATGTCTTGAATTACCTTATCAACTTAATTTTATGCTTGCTTTAACATGGAAAAACCATAAAAGTACTTATTCTACCTATAATAAGTTAACTGTATGTCTAAATTTTGGATAAAATTTTGGTTCTTTTTCTTTTGAAAAGTTATTTGCCCATAGTCACAAAAATAGGTAGTGGTGGGCATGGAGCTCAACATTGATTTTCTGATTGACTTCAACATTCTAATATACCACGTTGCAACTTTTAAGAACCATAAGAATAGAGTTGAAGGCAAGATCATTAAAATATAAGTACATGAAACATTCACATGCATTTTCTCAAGTAAGTGGAGGGGAAGATTTGTAAGGGCAAGGAGAATTAGAGAAATCCCAAATAAGGTACAAGATAAAAAAAAAGAGGATGTCAGGGTTAGTAGAGAGACAGGGGGAGAAGAGGGTAGAAGGTGAGAAATAAAAGGGTAAGATCTTTCTCACTTTAACCTCAAAACGCTAGGCTTCTCGTAGATCTATGTAGTATTACTTAGATTACTCTTCCCAACATAAGTTTACTAATACATTCTGTCTCTAAGGATCTACCTCAAACTTTCAAGTTTTTTTTTTTTTCCTTTCGCCTTTCTTTATCCTACAGTTAAAATTGTATGTCATGCCTTATACCCTAAGTTCTAAGGATGTAGACTTGTAAGAAAGTCTGCCTTGTAAGGTGACAGACCATTAAAATAAGCTCAACAGTTACACTGTCAGGCTTGGGATTTTGTTCAATTTAGCTTTCCTTTTCAATGTATATCTCAGGTGTTTAGGTAATTCAGAATATTGGAAGAGATCACCTCTAGGCTGTAAGATGAAGACAGGACAAGCAGAAGCAGTGTTCTGTCAATATTTCACTTTAATCCTGGAACAGAGCTAGTGGCCCTCCAATGACATTGAGTGGTTTCACTAATTTTCTATTTTTTTCTTTTTATATTTAAAGACATCGATTATTGGTTTTAGTTTCTTGTAATATGTATTCATTTTTTCTTTTTTAAGCTACCCAAATTACTTAATTATACTTGTAGTCTCTCCTAAGGATGTCTCAAGTAGGTTATCTTTTCATTTTTTAAATAATCACTTGGTAATACTGGGTTGTTAGGGAGTGATGAGGAAAACATACCCACCCCTAAATGATCTGTTTTCTGAGACTTACTTTGAAAGGTGTGTTTTCAGTTGTCTCGTGATTTTGAGACAACTTTTCAAATATTTGGGGAAGTAGAATAAGGTTAAGACTTAGGAGAAGTTACAGGAAGATTTTGATCTTATGAAACTAGTTAATGATACTGGTGTACTTGCAGTGATATAGATGAAGTTTTGAGGGTAGTTCTTCCCTGTCTTCCTCTGAAACTAATAATTCTCTCTTAAAAAGTCATTTGCTATTGTTAAAGCCAGAAGTGGGAGTCTCAAACAATTAACACTCATAAATGCCCCATGGAAAAATAATGTTTCTCTGATGTCATTTGAGAAAAGGCAGTTAAAAAAGAGAGGAAAGATAGACATCTCTGAACTTTTAAAAATGTATACTTAGATGTTTCTAAGAAAGTTTGAATCTCTTCTTTGACACTTGCCAGCTGCTCCCCTGCACAAATAATTTGACATCTATGAGATAGTATTCACATTAAAGAAATAGAATTTCTTCTTTGACTCTTATTACAAGTTTACTGAACAGATGTGTTAATGTATGGGAAAATATTCTGTAAGCTGTGAAGTATATTGTAAGAACAACTATTGATGGTTTGCCTGGAGACAAAGAGGAGGCTTCATTCAAGGATTAAATAATTGACTTCTTGCTAACTAGCAGTACACAGCCACTCATGACTTTTACTTTGTAACTTAAGACTCTAAACTAGTTTTAGCAGGGGAAGAGGCAGCAGATATTTTTAGAAAACTTCCTGTGGTTTAGATGAATTGCCAAAGATGTAATTCAGCATGAGAATTTTAAGTTTCCAGGTTCTTGTGCTTCATAGGATAATAATTTATAATCAGCAGGGGGGAAAATCAAACGTTTGGGGGGAAGGGGGTTGTTCAAAAACTTTACTTTTGTCAAATAAATTATCATTTTTAAAACTTCATTTATGCATCTTTTGAAATATCAAAAATAAGAAAAAAATGTCAGTTACCATGATAATTAAGGTGTGGCTATTTGTTTTCAGCTCATGATCTTATTTAGAATCTTCTTTGTTCTATCTGATCAGAATTAAATGAAACCAGTATAGTATATGCAGCTAAGTCTCACAGTGCTCAAAAGAGGAAACACAATGCGGCTAACATGGCAAAATATGCAAGCTTATTAGTAATCCAATGATAAACCACTCATCCCTGCCCTTCTCATTGGAGGGAACCAGTACCAGGGAAGATGGCAGAGAGTCAGGTGAAGAGTCTTCCTTCTTGGCTTGACAGAACGTGGGTCTAGACCAAGGATTTAGTAAAGGGATAAGGGGTACTAGAAGGCAAAGAGAAATCCTTGGATGGATCCAGACATTTTCTTTGTCCTTTTTGATGCCTATGCTAAATTTCCAAAAGTAGTATATGAATATATGCCCATAAAAATCACCCCTTTCCCCTTACCCCAACTCTTCTCTCCTTCAAATCAGTAACTGCTGTTTGTGCTGTTTGTGTTGGGTTGCATTTGTGTAAGCATACAGGCAGAATGCTTTTCTGCCTTTTACATTTTTCATGTAAGGGAGATCACACTAACTACATAATTGGTATCATGCTAGTCTTAAACTGGATTTTTTTTTTCATGGTAGACCTTAGAGTGTATCAGTCTAAATCTGCTTCATTCTTCTAAATGAGGAGTTGGCAAACATTTTCTTTGAAAACCAGGTAGTGAATGTTCTAGACTTTACAGGCCATACAGTCTTTGTTGCAGTTCCTGAACTCTGCCTTTGTATAGCACAAAATTAGCCATAGCCAGTACAAAACCTCTGAGCATGGTTGTGTTCCAGTAGAGCTTTATTTGCATAAACAGGCAAAGTTTGGCCAATGGGTCAGTTTGCCAACCCCTGTTGTAAATTATTACATAGTATTTCTGCATAAAAATAACCATACTTTAACTATTTCTGTAGTTAATCGTGTCCAGTTTTCCACTATTAAACACTGCTGTGTTGAATATCCCTCTATAAATAACACTATACATGTAGGAATACATCTGTAGGAAGTGAAATTGCCAGGTCAAAGGTGTGCACATTTAAATATGTAAATATAGCTTCCAAACTCTCCAAAGACTTACCAACTTATACTCCCCAAAACAGCATCTGAGAATGGGCTTCTTACTGCCTGCCACCATTATTATAGATTTTTATTTTTACCAGTATTTTATGTGTAAAATATTTGCCTCATTTCTAATAATTAGTTGATTAAGCTTGAGAGAACTAATAACATCCCCTTACCTTCCTGCCTGATTTAGAGTAAGTTGAGAGGCAGATTCAGGAATCACGAAGATGGAGAATATCAACTGCGGTATTGAGAAAGCTGTTGGGCAGCATGGCCTATATCCATGGTAACAATCGTTTTCTGAATACTGTATCCTAGAATTCATCTTCCCTGCTTTTATCACAGGCAGAGTTGGGGAAGGGCAGTCCTGCCATTAGTAGTCTCTCCTTGGAAAACATCTGTGGAGAAGCAGAGAATTTGCGACTCATAATACAGTC